GAATCACACAATAGTTAACCTTCATACTTTGGCTAGATAATCTACAGACACTGTAGAATCTTTGATACGAATTTGAAGCTAAAATGATGCTCTTAGACTGAGTTGTGAATTTCTTTTCACAAAGAACCTCGAATTTTCAACAAAAAAGCTAACCTCTTCCGTAAAATAGCTATATTTCACTGACTCCTAACAGTCAACTCACAAAATTCATATCGTAGATAGAGTAGAGTGTGGCTGCATTCTTGTAAAAAGAAACAGCTTTCATCTCTCTTAGGTCAGGAGCTATTGACATTTTACGAAAAAGAAAGAAATTGCTTATATCTCATGAACCATTCAGTAAAAGAGGTGCAAAGTTGGTGGGTGATCAGCATTTGGGAAGAGCTATGATCACACAAAATTAGAAGTACTTAACTATCATGGCTCTTGAGTTACAGGGGTGTCGCTACTATTGCGCGATTATTTTTTGAAAAAATAATCCCGTTCTCAAAGGGTTAAGCTAAATTAGATGGTTATGCTCTAAGTACATGATACGTGCATTGTTTCTTTTCCGTGTCCAGTGTGTGTATACAAGATAAAAATACATAGTGTGTATAAGATCGTAAATTGTTGAATATTAATGATTGTGTTGCCGTACAAATTAATAGTGTTGATCGAACAAATACAAACACTAAGGTTTTACCATGTTTGATAATTTCGAAAGGAAAGAACGATGTTGATGCAACATTTAAATTAATTTGTAAGTTTAGTAAGAGAAAATTCGTACACAGCCGAACACACTGCAGTCGGTTTCGTGCACGGACAATGTTTAGTAACGCATTTTGATTTACAATCTCAAGTTACCCCCGTTCACAGCACTTCGCACATATAATTTCCATGCTTTTACGAAAGAAATATCTTTAATTTCGTCAATATTAATTGCTTTTAGATAAACAGGACATACTACTTTCAAATAAATCAAACTTTTTTCAACTATGTAAGATGCACCTAGGGCAGACTTGCAGTGAAATTTAATTCTCGACGTTTCATATATCATTCGATAGAGAACTTCGCGGTGATCACGAATATCACTTCCTAGACTCTCAGAACCCTTTCCTCGCTGAGATATTTGCAAAATACTGGGAGTGTCTAAAAAAATCCAAAATCGCAAGGTTTTGGTAAAATGGTCGTAGTTTTTTTGCGCTTTGATTTTATTGCTCGACTCACAGCTTTTGGATTCAGCATCAAAAACTGAGTCTAGACAGCTAGCTTTCAATGCGCCAGGCTAAGAACTAGAGTTTTAGACTAAACTAAGGATCTCTTTTTAAAATTCATTTTCCTCGATGAGAGAAGTCGACTTTACTGCGAAACACCGACATCCTGACACTAATTCGCAATTTTCTCCAGCAGAACTCAACTTTCACGCAATGAAAATATTATATTCGGAATCAGCTTCGAAAATCGAGTCAAATGATATATATTTCAACTTTTTCATTGATTTTCAAAATCCTAGGAAGTGATATTCGTGATCATCGCGAAGTTCTCTATCGGATGATATATGAAACGTCGACAATTAAATTTCACTGCAAGTCTGTCCTAGGTGCATCTTACCAATTTTGTAACTTACCAAAATTAAAAACTACTTTAAATGTTACATCATCATCTATTTTTCCTTTCGAAATTATCAAATATGGTAAAACCTTAGCGTCTGTATTTGTTCGATCAACACTATTAATTTGCTATCTCGCAAGCTGTAGTAAGTGGAAGGCGCAGCTCGCCCACGTCTGATGCCCAAATAGAATAATTGTCAAAATATTAGAGAAATATCATCATTTTCACCCACATTACCGTACAAAATTATAGAACCGATTTGTTTTAGGTATTTCTCCCCAGCCATGAAAGGAAGAAAAAATCTGAAAAAAGCTTTGGATAGCCGAAAGAGTTTCCAGTCTCATGTGGCGCGTGTAAAGGTTCTATCAAAATTTGTAAAGCCAGAATCTCTCGAAAACCGAAATGTCAGAAAACTAAGTCCCGGAATACAAGCAAGAAATTCTTTGTAAATAATTCAGTCGTGTAAGCACACATTTTTGAACAAAACGAGGCGTCGTCGCACCCTGTGCGATACGGTTTCATGAAGCAGCACTCAATTTACAAAAGGCCGCATACCAGTAAAATTAACAGCAGAACAAGAAAGACATTCCCTCAGGCCTTTTAACAAAGTTCAAGAGTTACGTAACTATTAACATTTTCGGGAAATAACAATAAATAATTATATGACTATAGTAAAAACATATGGTGATTCATTCACAAGACGCGTATCCATGCTTTTAGAGTAAAAATTGAGCAATCTTTTTCGATAACATGCATCGTCACATCACTGACGTGGAGAGGGAGGACGTGGCGATGATGTGACGATGCGCGTTTTCGATAAAGTTGCTGAATTTTTTTTCGCGAAGCCAAACCGCGGATTCGCTATGAAACTTAGATAATTGTGTGCAAGAATACCGTTTGTTTGTGTCTAGTGAGTAACTGGATCGAATGATACACTAAGTACTTATTTTTCCCGTTTATTTTGTTCTTCACACGTCACCTTTTCATTTCTCATCACAACTCATTAATCATCATTGAAAGAAGAGAATGTGGACGCAGCTGAGTACTTTTTGATTTTTCAAGCCACAAGTCAAGTCATTTTTGGCTTGACTTGATTTGACAATAATTTTACTTATCCATCTGACTGTGGATTATCTTTTCTTTTGGATTAGGAATTATGTTATCAACGTCGGAAGAAGATTATCTCTCATTGAGCGATATTATCATGCCGCATGTTTATATTCGTTCGTTGCTCATTTACAATTATCATATTGTCGATTTAGAACAATCGCTCAACGAATATCTTCATCTATATTGTCCACAGGCATTTAAACGTATTGTCTATGATGACAACAACATGATGGGTGGACGAATAATTGATTGTGAGGATGAAGAAGAACGACAAATGTTCTCGCGCGAATCGAGACCAAATGAGAGTATATCCAAGTATCTCGATGATGATTCTCTTGTCGAAGATGTATTTCCATATGGTATGATACCAACAGACTCGTCGCCTCTTATCTTCATACACCAGATTAATCTGCAGGATGGAACTCTATTGGCAATCGGTTGTCATCACTATCTGTCCGATGGTCACGGATTCAGCACATTGGGTCAACGGTTTTCATTGTGGCTCAAAGAGAAAACATCGTCATTATTCGATCATGATCGATCTAAACTGAAACGTCTCGCTGCTTCGTCCTCGATTGAATTTGATCATCCCGAAATGAGTATCATCGAGCCTGTCTATCCTTTATCAAATCTATTTCCAATGGAGACAATCGTCAAACGTTATACGAAAAAATATTTATTCGACAAACTCAACATAACGAATAAGAATGGGATTGTTTCAATGAATGATGTTATTGTTGCATGGTTAACTCAAATGATAAGTCAAATTCGTCGTGTACCTAGCCAGTCAACCGTCAAAGTCGGTATGGCCATGAGCGGACGAACTCTGTTGCCTGGCATTGACGCTAACTATTTTGGCAATTGCAGTTTCTATCTGTGTCTCTCATTTTCGATGTCCGATCTAGATGATCTCACCGTTGACGAGTTAGCTCAACGGATCAACATTGAAAAGCGAAAGCCGATGAGACGTGAATACATTCAATCAGCATTGGCTTACATCGACAAACATTATCGTACGTCGACTATCCATTTAGGTTGGCAAGCGATTGGAGGTTACGATCTGTCATTTAGCAATTGGACGAGATTCCCTCTTTACAAATGTGATTTTGGTCAAGGCGAGGCGAAACATTTTAAATTGTCTCCAATTAAATCCGATGGTCTTATTTACATTTTACCAACACCGAACAATGACCAAATTGAACTCTACATTGCATTACAACACGAACATGCACAATTACTTTTAAGTAAACTCATTTAAAATAAAGACTCTTATTTTACCTATATGACATCAAACAAAATCTGACGTACATTTTCCACAGTAGAAGATTTGAACAAAAAACGCAATTACTATCGATCCATAAATACAGTGCAGAGTGGCGTTTTTCGAATAACTTTTTATGGAAAAGTCCTAGCGATCTACGGTTTTTACCATCGTGTAGAGGACGATTTTTTGCCCGTATAAAAATAGTAAGCCCCAC